CCTCTACAATAGCTTCTGTGATTAGTGTGAACAGTACAATTAAAAACTAATTCAAAAGTCACAATTAAACTCTACGATTAAAAAGTTTTGAAGTCAAAATGATGTTCTTAAATAATGAGTTATAAATTCTTTTTGAAGAGGGCCTCAAAATTCAAACGTGATGCTCGATCATAAAATAGCTGTGTTTCAGTAAGCATGAGGAGCTCGCAGTTCAGATTTAAAAGGTGGGTATAGGTGAGCCTGTTTGGTAAAAACTTTCCATCTCTCTTGGATCAGGGATTATTAACATTTTACGGGAAAACATGAAAGACTTGTATCTTACGAACCATCCAGGAAAAAGGCCTATACTTGTTACGTGATCAGCATTTGGAAGCAATGATCACACAAAATTAGAAGTCCATAGCTATCATCGGCTAGTGTCAATATCTTTTGTTGTTTCAACATTTTAAGTTTGAGAATATCCAATTATGAGTTAAGTTTTTTTCTGCACAACTAAATCATTGGATGCAATAAAATCTTAGTGGTTATTAACACAAGTTACATAGAACGTAGAGTAAAATAAACAGTAGGAAATCAATGTTCAACACGTAGGAATGGCGCGATCCTATTGTATTATGAGTCACGTAAATGCATTTTCCTTTCTAATATCCTTCTTCCTCTTTCTCAACCGAACTGTACGCAATAAAACTTAACAGTTTTAAACTATAAGTTTAAATATCCCGAAAGAAGAAATACATAACTCTAACGCAACAATTGTGCTTCAATTTTTTACTAATGACTGTAGTTCCCACATGTGATAACAGCATCGCACTACCACTATTACTGTATTCCCTCAATTTCAAAATATATGCTGATGTGCAATCTTCAATGTGTTGCGTTACCGAGTAGTTTTCTTTCGAATAGTTCGAAGATTAGATCTCGTTCTGTTTTGATTCGAGGACGAATCTTTTTATCATAGGCGGGGAGGTGGGATGTAACGATCTCGAAGCTCGTTACTATTATTTTAGTGTAATTTTCGAACTATACAGCTGCTAGGCTCAGAGTTATAACTAGTAAAACGAGGGTAGCAGATAAAAACATGTAAAACGGCTGCGGTTAGTTTTCTCTACGTATTTCATAACGGTTTAAATTGTACGCCACAGTTGCTGATGAAATCAGTTTTTCAAATTACATCACCTCCAACTGCGCACTCCAAAAATACACTCGCTGGGAATACGAAAGAAAAGAGAATTCGTTCACACGACAATGTCAATTGCATTAATTTCCCACCACTAATAGATATTATTGACAATGTTCGTGAATTTAATTTAATATATTGTTTCTAAGCTACAAAAATCGACTTGTAACCTTTTCTTTCGAAAATTGTCATAATTTTAAAAATCTTATGTTAACTTAACATGTAATCTTTAAGCTTTCCTTTTTTTAATAAAGAAAAAAGAAAAAAGAATCTTAAGACGAACATAAATAAGATAAAATAACGCTAACTTAAATCCAAATCGTTGCGAAAGTTGGGACGTCTCCTAAATGATGCTCACAAGGGGGCCTTGTTATAAGTTCTGTATTGCTTTTAAACATAATGCAGTTGCGATTGCATCTTTTCCTTTATCTGATATTGCACAATTAGTATTAAGATGAAAATAGCCAAATCTTCTTCGACGTACTGTAATTGCCCGTGCCAGTGCAAATGCACCTTTGTCTGTTATATCCGGGCTTTCCATATGCAGCCATGTGAGCGATCTGTTTATTTTTAGTGCCTCCGCAATTAACTCAGCACCACCGTCTGTGCAGTGCTCGGTCAATAGCTTGTCATACAATTCTCCATCCGATATCTTTACGCCTACTAATCCGGCATATTCCGAACAATATTGACTCAACAGCTGGTGATCCAAGACTTTTGGCGGATCCGTAGTGCTGCACAATGTACCTATACCATGCAAACTGCTCAAACCCTGAGTGAGCCACGTTCCATCGACACTGACACAAATATCATCACTTTGAAAATACGCACCTGCCTCTTGCGTACCATCTTGCATACTTTTCGTCGCTACATGTTCGACTGTGCCACATAGCAGTTTTTCGTATTTTTTGTATGTCTCGATTTGAACTGGCGAGATAATTTCCATGGTTCCAAACAGTTTTATCAGTCTTCTTCTTTATAAATACTGTAGAAAATACTCTGAATGCAGCGTCAAGTGATATGGACAATGTGGGATTCCTGAACACATTTTTGATCTATTATACGATTCTGAGAAAGATGTTCCTGCTGACAGCACAGTGGAAGTTGCTGCATTATTGAAAAGAAATTACATCTATGAACAAGTGTGGAATATTATTTATAAGCAAAATCAACTTCCGTTTGTTTCTGATCTCGTTCAGTATCCACCACTTACAGTTCAACTTTTACGGGTCCGATTTCCGAGTAAAAAACGAGAAATAATTAAAGTTGCTGCGGCGATATGCGATATTACACAATTTGTACATAGTACAAAACAAAAACGTTGATTAGCTGTGCCTTTGCATAACTCTGGATAATCCACTCGTTTTCTCTTTTATACCACTGTTTTAGTTTTATTGACTGAAACGCTTATATTTTTCAGATAAAAACAGAATGAAGCACGTACAGTAAGTTTCTGTATCATCGGTAAAAGAGAAGAGCAAAAAACTATAATCATTTACTCATGCTCATATGTTATTATACATTTTTATTATACACAGAATAGGGCCTGTATTCATTTCAACTACAGTCAGCTGAAAAGAAAGTAAAAGAATATCCACTGTAAACTCCGAGATATTTTGTTCACATTCTCACGAGGTGACATCTAAACACCGTTCAAAATCTTAACCGTTTCCTATAAACCACCACCGCCAGTTGTAATAAAAACACGTACAGCCCGGTTAAAATACGTCCATTAGAGTTAAAAATTCATGTACATATATACAGCTTGATATGCTCCGCAATCTACCATTGTTGAAACTGCGTCAAAATAAGTTTTTAATTATAGGCTTTTCAGAAAATCTTGGATTTCTGATAAATCAATAAGGACCAAAATGACTATTATATTCGGAACGACCATCGTCGATTACCTATAATCAACTATATTTCGGGCAAAAACTGAGTTGACATTTCGGAATGGACCCTAGACTAGAGTTAAAACCACATGCCTGTATGGTCCAGCATACGTGGCACATGCTCCTGAACGTATCCGTCAGATAGAGGATGGCCGATAACCGACACATACACTAAACAGATAGCTACAATATGTATCTTTAAGGCAAAAACTGAAGGGGAAAAACCCAGTTTCGGTATGTAAATAAACTGTTCAGTATCTTATCGGTACTTTCAGTATGTAACCGGTATTTTCGCTACTCTTCCTAGATGACTCTTCTTTTTTTGCTTAAAAAGCTCATTTGAGAACTTCTTGAGATCTGAAAAACCCGCTTTTTAGGAGATCTTCAGAAACCCAGATTTCTGTTCTTACAAACAGAACAAAAGGTTCTGTCTGTGGGAAAATAACTTGCAGAACAGAACACAATTACTTCTTTATCAGGGAAATTCTTCGAAATAAATAACAGGCTTGTTCTGTTTTCGGGAATATGAGTTTCAGTTGGTATTTAGTAAAAAATTCAATTGGTATTTGGATATGTGAGTAGTATGTGTATCGTATTTTTTCGGGTATTAATACTGATTTTTCCCCTTTGCAAAAACTTCTATTCAATATTGTTTTGCCTTTTTCTCCGAATGTATTTTTTTAATAGTCCCTTCAATTCATTCACATTACAACCTATCGAAAAAGTGGTCCGATCAAGCTCAAATTTTTACCACAGATACTTCACATCCTATCTCAGGATGAAAATTTTTTTTAGCGTTTTCGATTTCAACTTTCGGTGTGAAAAAGTTTTTAAAATCAAAACCCGGTTTTCTATACAGGACCTTTAGTATGTTCTGAATATCTCGAGAAGGGAAGCATATTTTTTGAAAAAAAATTTCATTCTGAGAAAAGCTCGGAAGTATCTGTGGTGAAAGTTTGAGCTCGATCGGAGCATTTTTTCGATGGATCGAAATGTGACTGGATGAAAACTAAAGTTTTCTAGAAAACCCATACAAGAACATCTCAGAAAATTCTGGGCAAAAATACTTCGATTTTCTTTCTCGATGTTCTATCTCTGCTGTAAATTTGGGCTCAATCGGACGTGTACTCCGCATTTGGCAACAAGGTGTGAAAAGAGGGAGAGAGTACCCTTAAACAAAAACAAATCAAAACACTTAATACAGCTGCTGGACCTCAATATCATATAGTCTCAATGCATTTATCTAACATGGAAACAGATGTTTCATGTTTTCTACAAAGAACTATTCTCATAAATTAAAGAATCCTAAATTTGTAAGTGATTAATAATTCTTTATATTGGTTGATCTGTCTTTCCTTTCTATAGAATAATCCACATTAATCGAAAGGTATACGATATTAACTGGCACCGAGATTAACTGGCTAAGTATCATGGATTTTCAAAAGGTTGGCAAGCGTTAAAATTATTATTAATGATTTTTAAATACGAGTTATTAAAGTTATATAATAATGCTAATAACAGTTACGACTCTAATAACTCTAATAACAAGAGACTGCTCTCATACTGTAGCAACATATGGAACAAAAAAAGGGGAGCTTTGTCCCCGTATTTGAATGACTGTAATGTCGTTACTCTTCATGAATTTATTGACTTTTGATTAGTTATCTATTTTGATAGCTCCGAACGTCGATTTAAGGTCCAAACGTGAAAGAATGAACACAAAGAAATGTCCCTCCTAACCCTTCTAACAAGAAAATCAGAAGAAAGTAACAAAAAAGTCGATTTTATGAAAAGTTGCAAAACATCATCAGTAAGCAGTATTTAACTATATTTACTAACTCTTGAAATAGTGATTTCGTGACAGTCTGAATCACTTTAAGTACATTTAATTGCTGAAACAATACCCAAATGAAATTTCATTATCAGGCGACTCGGTGTAGTGACAAAACATTTCGCATAATATTTACTGTAACAAGAAGGATTTCTTTTTATACTTCTATAGGCAACATTATCTGTCCATAATGTTGCTGTAAAATGAGCGTTGCTGTACAACCTTGTAAATATAGTCAAATACTGCTTACTGATGATGTTTTGCAACTTTTCATAAAATCGACTTTTGCGTATGCTACTTTCCTCTGGTTTTCTTGTTAGCGAATCGGCAGAGGGTTGCTGTATTTCGTTGCAGCAACCCTCCGCTGATTCGCTAACAACAAAACTAGTTGCATGTGATATACTACTCATCACAACCGCTGTTCCTGCAACTCGAAGTGTGCTTCAACTATTTCCAGATAACTATCATTTACATTTGAGTCAAAAATATATTCTAATTTGTGACTTTTATCAAATCTATCGTCTCTGGCAACTTTAAATATCAGTAAAACCGCGACGCTTGTCGATATGCCTTTTAAGGATAAAAAAGATGTGTTTTATTTGTTTTAGAACTACTTAATTGTCAACAGCACTGTTTACCGATTGCTGTACAATACTTGGATGAATTAGCTGGTTTTAATTCATCTAGATCACGCTACCCTGTAGGTACATCTGAAGAATTAAATGTAGATATAGATACACTTAAGTCAAAGGAGAAGTATTAGAAAGATATTCTAACGCGTAAAAACAGCAGAAAACAACTGTGGAAGACAACGATTCGGTGTTTTAAATGGTAGATTTGATTCATATTTCCATACCAGAGCTGATCACCTGCATAATTTTTCACCCCTGCGCGGTATCGCGCAGGGGCAAAATAAAATTTATCCGCGTTGCAGTTTGCAGGTTACCAAAAAATCTTTTGTTCTGCACAGGCAGAGGTTGAGGGTGGAAACTTCTGCACTGCCCTGCCCTGCAGGTTGACTGCAGGTGGACCCTAAAGCGAGGTATAACAATTTTTTTCCTAGTGACCACTATCATTCTGTATTACACGCTGATAATTATAGACTGTATCACCAGTTACGATTCACTATCCTTGTTCTATATTTTTCTCTTTCTGTTATCGTTATAGTCTTTTGTCAT